TGGAATCCTACAATTTCACCTTTCCTTTCTTCATTTTTAATTATTTAAGCTACTTTTTTGGTATTTTCGTCAGAATTTTTTTCGCTTCTAAGATATGTTAGGTATTGATATACGTGTTAAAAATGTAAAATGTCAATTTTTTTTAATTTAAGCATCCTGTAAATAAACAAATTGCATAAAATTATTTGTTTTTCAGTAATTCATTTAAAATTCATTTAACGGGGTGATCTATAAAAACAGTCGTAACGAAACTTATTCTTTTTACATTTTTGAAGTCGCCGATTATGGGGTCAGAATTTCGAAATTCAAAATGGCAGATCCAGTACAGTGGACAAAACTGTTCAAAATACTTCGATTTCGACAGAAATAGGTATATGGAGGTTTTTTGGATCGCTGAATTTGTTATCAGATTTTCGAAATTCAAAATGGCGGATCCAATATGGTGGACAAGAATATTATATACATAATCAGTTTCTTTTATTATTGCATAAAAAGTTTGTGCTTCAAAGGGTTAAGAAGCATTTGTGTTTCAGGAAAAACAATTTGCCCATTTTCTGGACAATTTCTCAATTTTTCTCCGTACTTGTGAAAACATAATGTACATTTTCTTTGCGTACACGCGAAGAAAAAAGAAGAAGAAAAAAATACACACAGGAAATCGCGATCTTCTTTCGCAAAATACTTTGTTCGCCAAACTCGTCCACGCGAGCGGTCGAAGTCTCGACGAACGACACCTCGAAGACACAAAAACGAGAAGAAGAAAAAAAGACGATGCGGACATTCTCACCAGAAAGAATCACGCGAACGTCGCTATTGCGTTCGATCGTTCATCTCTTCCTGCGGTGGCTTCCGGCGGCGAGCGCGAGAACGATTAATTAAATGAACAAGTCAACTTGACGGAAATCGAGAGAAAAAAGTGGCGGGGGAGAACGACGTCGCTCACAAATTCAACGAGTATCGAATTTCGCGGCTTTCGAGGCCTCGCAGGTACAAGCGATCGATCCGGGAATCGAAGAGTCCGTCGCGAGAGGAATTTTAATAATACACGCATCTTCGGCCAAGGAGTTACAAAAAGAAGGAAGAGAAACGAAGACGAGGGAGAAACAGAGCTGAAGGTACAGAGCTGGGGCTTGCTGCGGGCTGGCGGATGGCGTCGGAGGGACGTTGGAGGGAGCGGAGGGCGGCATAAGGGCGGGAGGTCTCCGTAGAAGACCTGAAGGGTAGGCAGTTGGGCGATGCGCCGAGTCCTCGAGCAGAGTCCCTGCGCGACGAGGGACGCCACTCGACCGCTGAATCAACCCCTCAGTACCCTCTCGTCCTCGTGCCCCTCGGCCAATGACACCCTCTCTCGCTCCGACGCTCCGCAACGCTACGTGATTATTTGAAAAAGCTCCGGGAGAGATGAGCCTCCACCCTTCCTTTCGTTAGCCCGGCGTATCGTGCTGGAGCCACGTTTCTGCGAAACACTTTTTGTGCGCCGGCTTCCTGCCTTTCTACATGCGTGCATGCATGCGTGCGTGCGTGCGTGCGCTCCAGTCAAGAGCGCCGGGCCTTTCTATCTCTCGCTCCTCATAGAAGGCCTCGTAGAGGACCTCGTAGAGGACCTCATAGAGGACCTCATAGAGGTAGGTCGCAGGATTGATTATGTGTCTTGGTGAACGCGAGGCAGCTCGCGTCAGATTTCGCGATGAGAGCGTCGAAGCGCGGCGTTTCCCCCCTCCCAGCGATGTCACGCGAGGGCAGGAAGAGCCTTTCTTCCGCGATTACCGCCTTAATTGATATTTTGGCGAAATTTACGAGCGCGCTTGGAGTCGCGCGCCGAGGAATGTGGTAGAAGCCGGAGAACGCGGCCTAAGAATGCGACGATGGGAACGTTAGTTCCTCCTTGCCCACCTGGAAATGTACGCTCGGCTGAAGAGTAATTGCGACTACGAGACGCCTGTCATAAGTTTTGTCGTCGTTGTTCCGAAGTTCTATACGCGAGGAATATTTAACAGCTTGCATGGGGAAGGAAGATTGGTGGGAGCAACGCGACGATGAAAGAAACAAACGTCTTCTCGTTGAAGGAAGCGGAATTTGCGATTTCTCTTGACGAATTTGCTTGATAGTAGCGAGAAATTTTGTTTCCTTCGAAACGTGTTTGGCTCATTCATTGTCACGCTAATTCGATCAATTAGTTCCGATTCGAGAGATGCTGAAGAAATTAAGCACTCATAATGGCTCGTATAATTAAAGCGAATAATGGCTCGCATAATTAGCCCGAATAATTAAAAAGAGTGGTAGCTATTTTTCGGAGGAAAATGTTTGGTTGAATGAACCAATCTTTTGATGAAATATAAATGAAACAGAAATTTTAATGTAGGTTATCAGAATTCAGTCTAAATTATCAGGCTTTCTAATTCATTTAAACATTCTGGTATTTTTAACTGAATCTTTGAATCGTTCATATTTCACCAGGAAATTGCTTCATCGAATCAAACATTTTTTCTCCCTTGAGTGATTGAAAAGTATATCGCACAGTAATAAAATAATTTATTCAGCTGAATATCACTCTTGAATTTTCGCAGCGAATATTTTTCTCTGCAGCGCTTAAGCCGGAGTGGTTAATAAATTAAGCTTTGCTGATAAGAATTAACCTTGTCTTTTCTTTTTCAAAGAAAGAACTCTAACTGAAGCAATTACATTTTAAGACATTGCGGATATGTAAGAGTGATATTGCAATCAAACTTAAAATATACCAGTTAATAAATATAGTAGCGTTTTTTTTAATATATTATTCACATTAAAGCGTTATATCCCTTATGAAGAAGCGCAAAACGAAATTTGCAAATGTGCCGCGTTTCAAACTCGAAAAAGAAGGCTACGTTTCCGGTCGTCGACACTTGAAGAAATAAAGATGTCGATTCACGTCGCGGATTCGCGATATATTAACTTCTTCTGCTAATCTTTTTTTACGTGTATATAAAATATGCCATTTATTGCGAGGCAAGTCAGATCTCTCTCGTGACGAGATTCGATCGACCTATTTCCTTCGACGAATTTTCTCCGCTGCGAAAGTCCGCACGCACGTTGGGGAGAAAAAAGAAAAATGAAGAATGTCTCCACCGAGAGAAAAGAACATTACGTCGGGGTGTATCGGATTAAATTGATCGTTCACGACCATTATTAGATAAACGACTAGTGTTAGAAAGTCAACGCTACGTCATCTAATGACGCTCACAAAGCCATCAGCACTAGTCGGTCTCTTCCTGCAGCCAGTGTCAATGTGATGTGTCAAACATTATAGCACCGCGTTGACCTTAAATCGGCCGAGCGTGCGGTTCATATGAAAATCATCGGCGAAGCCGCGTACGTACACGGTCAATCGATCTTCCTCTTTGCACGTATACAGAGAGAAAACAACCCTGTTAAAAAAAAATGAAAAGAAGGAAGAACAGAATTTTCTGCTGCTTAGAAAAAATTGGCGACCGAGTGGAAAAAACGTGGTTGTGGAAGCAAAAAAATTCCTGCGGGAGGTTCCCAACAGTCTCAACTGTCTTTCGTCAGTCTCAATCGAGTTTTAATACAGCTGAATGCTCAGACAAATGTTTTCGATCACAAAGCGATAACAAAGATACCATTTCAGTTTTATCATCTAGTTTATTTTCACTCTATTGTACAAACTAAACTTTTTCTCCGCACACGGCGAGAAATAATCCTATCGGTGCAATTTTCCATTGCCTGTGAGGAAATAGGAAAATAAATGGAAAATTTTCTTTATAGGAACAAGAAAATTCCTATAAGAGGCTTCTAATTAGTCTAGACTGTTTTCAATTATCTCGACCGAGTTTGGTTACGGCCGTTGATGTTCGGCCAGAAATGTCATTTCTCGTCGTTGAATTGAGATCTCTTTTCCCGTGCACGCGTGTCTTAATTAAAATTACGACACGGACTAGTGACAGACTAGCGACAGGGAATCACCGAAGTCGGCCAAGGCTATGTCGGCTGTGCAATTAACTAAAACGAACGAGAAAACGCGATAAACGGAACGCGACATAGAAAAATTACTAAAGTAACAAGCGCGATAACAAGCGAATTGTTGTTGTGTAATTACCGTTGCATCGTGAGCGAAACAATTGCCAAGTGAAGGATAATTGCAGCGGTTTGCGCGCGCTAAGGGTGAATCGTCAATTAATTAAAATCGCTAATGGTGGTCTGGCGGAAAGGGTGCGGTCGCAAGTTTATTTGCGCTTCCCACGTGGCGTCACGCAAAATACATAAAAAGTGGAGGCAGAGGGGGCTTGTGCAGACGCGGCGCGTGCCGCCACGTCGAGAGATAATTAATTCACGAAGGTGGAGTGGGAGGAGGAAGCAAATAATTAATACGAGCGTCGAGATATCACTTGTTGTTGCGATAATTTATAAGAGTTTCGCCAAGTTTTTCTCCCAACATGCGAGCACGAGGTAAACTTTTATGTATATATTTTATGTATGATATATTTTATGTATATATACGAGGTAAACCGATATGAGCGATATTAAATCTGCTCTTTCTAGCTGAACTGATTCGCCGCTTTTTGTGTGCCTTTCGAGTGAAATATCTAACCTAACTTTTGGAAGGCAAGAAAAAATAAAGTCCCAATGCAGCATTGGTTCATAAAAAAAAAAAAAAGAAAATAGACCTCCACAGACAGTTTCATATTTCAGATCGTGTTAAGTCAATCTCGAAATGCGGCTCGTTAAAAAATGTAACCTAGTTCAATTAGAAAAAAAAATGGACACTTGAAGACGAACATAGGCCCGTTCTTCTCACCTGAGCTGATGCTGAACGAAAACCTCGTTTTCTCCTAGAAATGCCAGATTATATACCCGTCTGGCTCCAAAGAAAGAGAGAAAGAGAGAGACAAAGAGTGCAAGCTAGCTCAGTCGAGAGGAAGAGACGCTATATCGAATAATCGGCCTGCATCTTTTTGTTTCCCGCTGTCCTCTGCTTTCTGATTAATCCTCTCGACCGTGTACAGTTGGCCTGGGCTGCCGGTCGCGCTACCATCACCAGCCTCGCCATCCGCGGTAATCGTCTCGCCGGAAACGCTGTCTAGACACAGCAGCAGCTCACCCTCTCGCGTCCACCGGCCACCCCAATTCGCGTTGGCCCTGCCATGCTCCTCGCAGCCGATTCCGGCGGTCTGTTACCCAGCGCCGACCTTCCTCGAGGTCACCGACGAGCGGAAGTGGAAGAACCTTGGATGGTGAGTGAGCGAGGTGGATCGGACCGTTTGGTCGTCGCTCGGGGGTCGACGTACTCGAGCGGTCGCCCTCCCGCAGCGTGTTTTCAATCGCAGCTGATTCCCAGTGATTGAATATCACGCGCGCGCGCGCGCGCGCGCAATTATCAATATGACACTTTTCACACCGACGGAATGTGATTTTATGTTCCTGCGACTACGGACGTTCGCGCGGCAATCGAATGCGCGGCGAGTCGCAGCCGCGAGCGCGAAGCGGATTCGTGTCAATTGGATTGTTGAGTTGAGACGTGCGTGCTGTTTCTTTTTCTTTTCTTTTCTTTTCTTTTCATTTTGTTGCTCAGTTGTTAATTCGACGGAGCGACGATGTCGTATTCGGGTGTGTGAGAAATTTACGCTGCCGCTTCGGGATGAACGCGTCCGCTCATTTTCGCCAAGACCCGCCACTGGCGAGTCTCGCGCGAATGCACGCGCGAAGGGGGAATGCCGGTCGCCACGGAAATTTCACGTGATCCTACAGGTTATCCTGACCGACGTCTGCGCCGCAATTACCGGTACTTTATGAATCAAACACACGCGTACAGGCGACCACACGCGATTACTCGTAATTGAGCCAATTCTTACGGGGGTGGATGTATTTGCGGCCAATGGTATCTCCGCTGTAATGTTACACGATGACGGGAATCTAGCTAACGATCCATCATGCGCGCGCTGCCCTCGATCTCCCGATTTCGACAACGCTTTCGGAAAATTGTTTTCGTGTCAGAGACAGCCAGGACCGTCCCCCGTCAACTTCGAATCGTCCGTAGCGATTCTGTGCAGCGCTACTCGTGTAAGGAAAGAAATTTTTCTATGTCATTGTTATGCCGTTGTGTCGGCGATGTTACTTCAATTTTTTATTATATTAACTTTTTGCGCAGAGAAAAGAAATGTATTCGTTCTGTATGCGGAAAGCAAGCATCTCTCCTCGATTGTTGCAAAACGCAAGTCTGAGATTCGGTGATTTTGGAAAATTAAATTTATAGAGAAGGAATTAACGTTGCGCGAAATTTGTCATTCTATAAAATTACCAATTAAGGGAGGAATTACATGCGGAGCAGGCCGTTTTCAAGGCTATTTTGACGAGTTTTATTGAATCACAAGAACCGATTCAATTTGTAATTATAGATCAAAATGTAGTCATCCGTTTGCGAGCTCTATGCTTGCTGCCGACATAATTCTGGGCCTCTCACTACTCTGAAACTAAAAAATGAGAAAGATTTTTAAAAGAGAAAAGATTTTTTAAATGAGAAAGATTTTAAAATACACGGTTGCCATTACAGCCCATACCAAAATGAAGGCAGTGAAGCCAAGTTTAGAAAAATAATGACTATATAAAAAACAGTATGGAAATGAAACACTTTTTTTAACTTGTAATCATGTTTAAAAAAAACGAATAAAATAAAATATAACTGTGTTCGAGGTAGGTACGCAAATTACATGCCTACTATATATTGTGTAAAAATTTCGAGTTATTTCGGTTCAGTAGTTTTTGCGTAATCGTGTCGACAGTTTAAGAAAATGGTGTTTCCAGATAAACGTGTTTAAAATTTTGTGTGTACTTTCCATATATAGATAGAACAAATTTATTTTATATTTTGAACATTAATGGATACACTGTGAAAATTTCAAGTTCATTGATCCTACCTACGTTTTTGTTAAACAAATTCGTAAAAATAGCTTTGAAAACAGCCTTAAATCTTGACATCTTCAAAGATACTTAGATAGGCGTTCAATTTTCCTTTTGTAATTTGAATATTATCGATTGAATTAGAACGAGCATTATTTATTTCGAGTAAACACTTACTAGAAAATCGCACAGGAAGGAGGGAAATCTCGTCACGTGATTAACAGATATTCATTATGTCGCTTTAAAGTTAAATTATTTTCTTCAAATATTAATTCACGGATATAAATTCACCCCCTTGAAGAAGTTAAATTTATATTCTGATGTCGCATTCGTATCGCTTGTAAATTATTTTCTTCGGATCTGAGTAACTTCGTCGCTAGCGCGTTCCACGAGATGATTTCTCCTTCGAGTACAAATACAAATATCAATTAATCCCTTTCGTCGCAACATACGCAAGAAATGACGCGTTCGTTTGAGCACGTTCATCGGTCGAAATCCCTCTCACCGATAAAAGCGCGGGTGGATTTACAGACGGGCGGGTTTCATAGAATTCCTTGACAGCGCGTTTCGAATGAAGATCCGCTCGATAGTCGGCGCGTGGTAACCGAAGAGGACGAACATGATTCCTCAAAGTACAGCCGGAGATGGATCTATTTCCTCGAGCGAGGATTTAATTCGCGCGCGGGCGCGCGCACGCGCGCGCGGTGCGGATCCACGTTTCATTCAGCTTCAATTTCCGTTTCTGCTGCAGCGACGCCCTGGCAACCACTTTGAGCGCGTTGTACGGGAAACTTCTGGTCGTGATGGGGATCGCCTTTCCCATGGCGGAAGTAATATCCACGTATATACCGCCGTCGTTCTACGAGGCTTTCTACCTCTACCTCTACTTCGGCAGCATGATCTTCCTCGTGTACATGTACGCCATGTTGTTCAGGGACGGCAAATCGAAACCAAGTGAGTGGCAAAACTCGTTATCGTTCGAAAAGTTCCTGTCGTTTCCCATTTGCCACGAGGCAAATTCTCAACTTGCAGGACTCGCCTCGCCGCGTCGCACAGTAGAGCTAGATGACATTTCAAAATTCTGTAGAAACCTGAATTTCCAATCGATCATCGACACTAATGGATGAGGTTAATCCTGAATAAATTCCAAAGAGATCTGTCTAGCTGAAATTTTGAAAAAATTATCGGTTCAGGGTTCATGGGTTTAGGGTCTGTCTTAAAAGTTTATCGTTTAAAGTACAGTGTCTTGGGTCTAGCTATGGTTAGATTGGGTTCTTGGACTATTTGGAGCTCTTAATATATACGACTTCATGCACCCACAAGCTAAAAAGTTCTCGGATTGATAGATTCCTAGGTTGATGGGCTTAAGACTCAAAATCCCTCGGTTTTGTGCTTAACGGGTCTATACTTGATGTTTTTGTATTTTGGACATATGAGATTTGGATTAATGGGTTTCTGGTTCAAGATCGATAAATCTCAAGGTGTCTGTTGATTGGTTTCATAGTTTCAATTCGCTGAATACGCTATTAGATAGAAATAAGTGTCGAATAATGAATATTTCACAAGTTTCTCGCGCTTACCGATAATCTTTCCTCTTTTGGGGCTAGTAATTCGAGAAAAAAATTTTTTTTAAATTTTGGCAAGACGGATCTCTTCGGAATTTATTCAGGATCAACCTCATCCATTCGTGTCGATGATCGGTTGGAAATTCAAGTCTCTAGAGAATTTTGGAACAAAGAATGTCATCTGGCCTCGCTGTGCGTCGGTCCCGCGAGGAAACGTCCCGGTGCGAGGCGCGCTCGACAGTCCTGTCATGTCGCGGGAGTAGACAAGAGCAATCCACGATCGGAGGCGCGAGAAATGAGATGCCACTTCGGCAATCGCAGCCTTAATATATTAATAAAAAGCCTCCGATCGATCTACATTCGCGCGCGCACCACGACATGACATTTGTGTATCGAACCGGGCGACCTCGTTCTGTTTCCCATCGAAATTCCCTCTCTCGATCGACAGCGATCGCCGAAACGAGGCAACGCCGTCGAGTACCGAGTAGTCAGTGGAAGAAAGGCCGCGTCACTTTTACCTCGATGAACCTCAAAACGCGTCCGGTATCCGTCAGGGAAACTTATCCCCCGGGAGTTGCTTGAAAACGAACTCCGATGCGTAGCGAAATCTATTGGAAAAAAAGATGTTGCGGTCTTTCTTCCACTTGGGGCACGGAGAGAATTTCACGATAAAAGTTGCTGTATAATATTTTATTAATATAGTATATTACTTTTATATAATAGTATCTTTTTACAATATGTTACTTTTTTTCGAACGATTTATTTCTATTTTAGGAGCCGAGTCCCGTTATATTAAGATATTTGTTGTCACTATTTTTGCAAAATTTTTATATTTCTGCATAATGCTGTTTTATTAATATCCTTTTCGGGTGAAGCATATTCTTTTACAATGCGCATCATTTTTGTTGGAATAATTTATACATTTTGGAAAGTTCACCATTAAAAAATTTACCATGCTCGAGTTGTTAAAGGAAGACATACAAAATTGACATAAATATGCGTGAAATGAAGCTATACGTGAAATATTCTCTCCGTGCGACCATGAACGATCGTTGCGTCGCGGGACAATCGGAACGGACCGTGTCGGTTTGCTTGCTAAATCGCAAATTTGCGAAGCAGAAAAGCAGAAGGACGTGTGCGACCTGGACTCATCGCGGTCGTCGAGCGGCGCCGGCGGCGACAGCGACGCTCCTGAGACCGGATGCCCGCACATGAATCCGGCACGTCCGGTCCAGCACTACGGCAGCTTCTACCTGCGAATGGGCGCCGTGGCGTTCGGCATCGGCTCGATGATCTACTCCGGGCTGGAATTCGGCCAGTATTTCGAGCTGGAACGCAACACCAAGTGTCACAATATCATGCTGGCTCTCACACCCGCCACGAGAATGGCCTTCATCTTCATCCAAATGTACTTCATATTCCTGAACAACGAGGTGAGTAAGTCGGCGCGCTCGGCGCGAATGATACGCATGTAGAGTGACCTACAACTCGCGACCTTAATGTTCATGACAAACTTTGGAACGGCCGGCTTGCAGGCAATCCTTTTCGAAACGGATTTTCTCTTGAGTTTCATTCTACGCGAGTCAAGTCACGAATTAAAATTCTGCTGAAGTCTGCAAGAAAAGCGATTGAAGTATGAGATTACAGTTGCGCGTTAAAAGAGAGAAATTTTAACTAACCCATCGGATAAAATTCTTCCTTTTCTTTTTCTTTTTTGGCAGAAGTATTTCTCTCTCTCTGTATTTCTCGCAGGATGACGTTACTAAAATTTAACATGTTTGAATTTTAGAAAAATATTATAGAGTTTAGATTCTAAGATTTTTTGAATAATAATTAACGCTTAATTATTAATTAATTATTTTAAATAAGAATAATTAAGTAATAAATAATAATTAAATAATAGGTAACGCGTGTTACCTTAATTAATTTGTATAAAAAGAAATAAAATGTGGATACAATAATCTTCATATTAGCGCGCAACGCTGAGGTAAAACAACTTGAAAAAAAGAACATGTAATACCGGAGCAAAGTTGCTATCGATTCTTTAAGTATCGCTTCACGTGTTACAACGGGAAACCTTAATGGTCTTGCTTGATAGAAACCACCGATGGAAGTATCGCAAGGCAACACTAACGTGTCGGTTACGGGGTTAATGAAACAGAAGGGTGAACAACCCTGTGAGTTATAGTGTAACATGACTATTCGAACAGCTTGATATCCCACACGACGAACTAATCGTTTTTTCTGTTACCGACATTAATTTTCGTCAACTGAAATTTCTACCGATTCATACGTTGTCATAAATTCTCAGCTCAGAAAATATCCTGACACTGGAACTGAACACCGGAACCGATAATTAACGACTCATCTTTATCACAGCAGTAAAAAAAATAACAGACATTTCAAAAAAGTACGTAACGCAAGGGAGACAATTTCTTTATATTGGTTTCCTTTTCAGCGACAATTAAAAATATAAAGTTCTCCCGTTGTAAGAAATTACAAAGGAGACATTTTAACTTTTTTGTTAATTCAGTGTTCAGTTCTAGTGAAAGAATCTATTCAACACACTTACACATATACACAAAACTGTGAAATTTTTAAAACCGCTCGATCAGAAAAAATTATATAAAAATCATATAAATTATACATAAATTATAAATATCTATACATCTATATGATATATAGATTTATTATTAATTTATAATACTAATGTAATAACTAATAAATATATCGATATAAAGACAATATTAATTTTGTCTTTAACTTTTGATGGTATATATAATCATATGAAATTATATATTTCAAAATGGGAAAAAAAACGTAAACATGAGCAATTATTTTAATTTTATTAGTACAACAGCATTTTTTTCAGTATGAATATATGTAATTGCACATTGTTTATATAAGGTGCTAAAAAAGAAAATGGTTCAGATTTTAAGAGCAGATGATATTCAAACGGAAGAAAAAAATTCTAATATATATATATATATATATATAAGCAAAGGTCGAAAAATTAATTAAAATTAATTAAATCTAATTAAATTATTGAAATTAAATAATTGATAATTAACAGAATAATTGATAGGAAACTGAATAATTAATGGAAAAATTAATTAAAATTATTGTTGGAGTTATGAACAATTATTTATTTTAATTAAAACAAGCGACTTACTCGTTTCTGGTGCTTTTGCGCTGTTGTAATTTGTCTATGCTATTTATCGGTGAAGAGAGTACCACGTTTTAAGAGAATCGCTATAAAAAAAGCTCCTTCGCTCTTGCTCGAGATGTAAACAAACATCTATTTTCTTCCCATTTATACGCACGCTCCACCAAACAATTGTTTGTCACATATTCTCGCGAACAGTGAACAGAAATTGCAGAGAGCTATCATAAAGTTTTCACAATACGATAAGAGTGATATCGTCTTACTCTAATCAAGAAATGGCAGAAATGCACTTCACGTATGGCCGTGTACCGGAAGTGAGACCGAGTGAGTGACTTGCTTTAATTAAAATTTAATTAGAATTTAATTAAAATAAATCATTGTTTATAATTCTGACAATATCAATTTTTCAACCTATATTTATCAGGACCTTTTTTCTCCATCTTGTGAGTATTATCCGACCTTAAAATTTGAACTTCTTTTTTTAAACACCTTGTACAGAATCATATAGAAACGAAATTCGTATATCATCGTATCAAATTATTTTCGGGCGTATGACTTTAAACAGTTCCCTTGTCGTTCATTTTTCAATTTTATACCTGACGTATCACAAATATAATATTATATCAGATATGACTTAACACGCGCGCGCGATAAATTGAATTCCAATAATGAAATAACGTCACGTTCCAGCAAATGAAGGTTTATCGCCATCGCGTGGTCGCGCGTTTCGGACTGATGCACATGATCGGCACGAATCTGTCAGTCTGGTTGAACGTTCTCGTCCAGGAGACGAAGCACGAGATCCTCACGTTCTACAATCCGGAGAACAACTCCCTCCGGATCTCCCACAGGCTGGGTAAGCGTGCGGCAACGATTCTTCGCCGGGCCTCTCTCAATGAAACACCTGACATTTTCGACCGCTGCTCAGGCTCGAAGGGTGGACTTCATCTCGGCGGCCACACTCACTCCCATCACGGGGAACACGTGCGACTGCCGCGCGGCCTCAAAGGACCCCATCACATGTTCGAGTGCCGACGGACGAATATAATGGGATCACTGGTGCAAGACGCCAGCCCCTTTCTCTTCCCGTGCACGATCGAGTACAGCCTGATTTGCGCGGCCATTTTATACGTTATGTGGAAAAATATATCGAAAGTCGGATTCACGCAGCCCACGACACCGCCGGGCTCGCGTCACCATGCGCACGCCTACAGGTACGCTATTGCATTACGGTATGAGAGGCCGCGCACGCTAAAACACAATACGGCCGTGATAACAGTACCACGTCTACGGATACAATGACAATCGCACCGCCACCGAGACATGCGAGCGACAGTCTAGTTTAGCAACTATAATTCCACCATGATAAACAGCTTAGCGGGGAATGAATTACGGGGATGATACCTGCGCGCTCCTTGGCATTTTAACACAGCTCGTCGCACGTATAATTCTATCAGAATGCGCACTCGCGACATTAACGCTTCCGACGCTGTTGAATTGTACGGAGTGTCGGATACAACGTGTATGTGTTCTCGTGTGCGGATGGGGTTTATCAAACTGAGCGAGCAAATGAGGTACCATTTCGCGAACAAGCAAGATGATTATCGAGTTATTGATTAAAGAAAATTCGCGAATGCTGGCGATGAGCTTTTTGGTGGCACGGTTTCAGGTTGTCGACAGATTCACCCCGAGCAAAAAATTGTTAGGGCTATCTTCATGAAGCATAAGACCCCGATAAGGCTGAAAGTAGGATACCCTAAAAGGGGATGCCTCATTATTACCACATCAGGCTCTGAGATGGACCTGTTAGGAATACCTTAGATTTTGCGAAATAACGCTTTGATAGGAAAAGCTGAGAAGGGCCTTAGGAGGATTTTTTAGGAATGTTTTAGATCTAATAAATAAAGATTTGATAGAGAAAGCGCAGGGCCTTAGAAGGATTTTTTAGGGATGCCTTAGATTTTATGAAATAATGCTTTAACATGGAAAACTGATATAGGTCTTAGAAAGATCTTTTAAGGATTCTTTAGATATACAAAATCAAGTTTTATTAAAATTAATAAGTTTTAAAAAAATTAATAAGATCTGAAGCATATAATAAAATATTGTCATAGTTTAGTATTGTTTTAGTAGGTACGTTCTATCTGTTTCTTTTAAAGATTTTTTAATTATACTGCAATTAAAAACAAATTTTATTAGTTTTATTAGTTGCCTTATTCATTAGTCTCTTCAAAGGATTTTTCTAATATTGCCTTTGTTTTGAAATGCAGCAAATTTTAATAAAAACAGTAGCAGGATTATGTGTAAAGAATGCTATATTTTATTGTAAAGTATATTATATTTTTAAAATAAAAAACTCTTGTTGTATACTAACAAGGTTATGAAGAAATAAAGAAATTATAGTCTAAATTTCTTGGAATAAAAAGAACGAATATTTTTACTCAAGTAATAATAAAAATATTCCCTTATAAGGCCCTATTAATATTGCCTTATAAGACCCTTATAATATTGCCTTACAAGAATCCGTTAAATCGTTTATTACACATCTTGTAGAGTCTTTGTCTTTCTATCCCTATTAGGACCTGATTAATGTTAAGGAAAAATAATCAGGCCTCTACCAGAGCTCTATTAATTTTTCTACTCCGGACAAGTCTTGGATGAGAATTTGACAAAAAAGTTTTGTTCAACTAACGACCATTAATATGAGCCCTAAAATCATAGAACTTCATTTCTGCTGTTGAATCATATGACATTTCTTCGAGTTTCAGATGTAGAAAATTTGTAATTATGATTTCACTCTGAGAAACTCGCAACTTATTCTAAACTCAAATCTGAGTATCTCGCTTGAGATTTTTAAAAAAAGAAAAATTCCTAGAGCGAAGATGGGATTTATTTATTGGAAGAATTAAGGATACATGGTTGTTGCTCAAAACTTGTCCCATGTGAAATATTCAAAATTCAATTTAGAATAAAATTTAATGTTTTAGTTGTATTATATGCCATGACATAATTATAACCGTAATTTTATCGAAAATTCTAAGCTATCAAGATTCAAATAACGATTGTTAATAATGGAGACTCTACATCATTAGTTTGAATTTCTTCAATCGAGTCAAATGACACGCGTGATATTTGAGCTTCAGAAAATGTTAAATCCGTGATTTATTACGCTTGTACTCGCGTTTCCACTAAAACTCGTATCTAACTCTAACCTCAAATCTGAGTATCTCACTTGAGAGACAAGTTTCAAATGTCGACTATCGATACGAGTCTATAGTACACAGTTGAACCTATTGAAAAGACGAGCGTCCATTGGTTCGCAGGAAATCGCCTCACCATTACAGCGTGGACTGCGCCCGCGCGCACAAGGGTCTCTTCGTGGGCATCTTGATCCTGGTACTGACCATCATTTCCCTAATCCTCTTCTTCGTGCTCATCTCGCGACCCGAACTGGTCAGCCTCGCCGTGACCGAGGTGAACGTCTGCGAGCTCACGCTCTACGGGATGTCCACCCTGGCGACGTTGATCGGCATGTTCCAGATGCGCAAGCTGCGCTACGATGGCGGCAGAAACCTCGAGCTGGACAACATCCTGCTGGTGGCCGCGCAAACCGGCATGTTCATTTACTCCACATTCACTATCATCGGCGGCCATTTCACCCTGCAGAAGCACACGGTGCTGGTGCTGGTGACCGCGCTGGCCAGCGTCGTGCAGACCACGTGTCAGACCATCTTCATCCTGGACGCCTCGAGACGCTCAGTCGCCACCGCTGAACAGATACGACGGAAGCCAGGCCGGGAGATCGTGACGTTCCTCTTGGTGACAAACTTGGCCATGTGGGCGATCAACACGCTGGAGAAATCCCGAGCGGAATCGCACCCGGTGCAGCTGCACTTCTACGGTCTGTGGGCGTGGACGATAATCACCCACGTGTCAATGCCGCTGGCGATCTTCTACAGATTCCACAGCACCGTGTGCCTGTGCGAGGTGTGGAAACGGGCCTACAAGGTCAAGCCCACCTACATGTGACGCAAGGGGTCCCGCGAGGTCGTGTGGAAGACCGCAGCTGCCCCGCAACGGTTCTGCAGGAGTCTGCAGAGACTCGACGCCATCGCGGAGAACGACCCGGCATATTTCATATGATCGAGGGAAGCCGGCTCGGACGCCCGACCGCTTTGGCCCGGGGAAGCCCGGTCGGCCGGCGATCCATGGTATTATCGCATGGATAGAACTATCCTGGACGTCCAGTCGGACGATCCGCACGCCGTCACCAGGCTGTACGCGTGTCGTTACAAGAAATTCCGTCAGATTTCTGGTCAGCTCCAAGAGCTCACGACATAGAACTAATGCAGACCCAAAGGCCTGAAAAAAAGGACGTCCGGATACTATGCAATATAGCAAACATGAGATCTGTTCTTTGCAGCTGCGCTAGGTGGCGCTGGGTCTGCGCTTAAGCCTCTTTCCGCCGCAGCAATTTGATGACGTCAAGAGTGAGGGAATCCATGCTGAAAATTCTTATGAAATTCCTACGTATTACGTCGAAATGAAAAAGATGTATCCGTAAAATAACACCTGCAATCTATCGATAGTTCAATTCCGAAATGCTCTGAAAACTTTTGTCGAAGCGATTAAAAAATAGGCGAAAATTTGACACGACGAAATCGTGCGAGAAAAGATAGATTGAGAAAGAAAAGCGCGCATTATGTTAATTTTACGGTTATTTGTCAATTGTTAGAGCACAAGGAAGGTTCCCTGGGCGCATTTTGGAAATGTACTCGATCGATTGTCATTTTATGGATATATCTTTTTATTTTGACGCGTTCCGTATGCATTTTTAATACAGATCTCCTCGCTTCTAATCAACCAAGAATTCCGCGATGAGAGACCAGGAGCTTTGAGGCTCTCGCTACTTTCTCCATGTCATCTTGATTGTGACGTCAGCGAGAAAATAATAGGTTGTAAATGAGAAGATATTTGTTCGAAAAAACACTTCAGATCGCTCGAGTATCCTTGTAAAACGCTTCGAAAACTATACTTCTTTCTTGAATCAATGAATGAAACAGCCCTGAAATGACCGTAATTGACCGAGGTTTAATTATGCGAAATGATTGCGCATACGCATGATTATGCCTCGTAATAGTCATTTTACGGCTGTTGATGGATTATTAAGAGAACAAGGTAGTTCAGAGCATTCGGCGGGAGTATACTTGAAGTATACTCGAAGTTTCACAAAAATGTCTTCTCACTCGGAAATGGCACGCGAGAATTTCCAGCGTGTTTTCTCACTTCTGACTTAAAATCAAGTAGATACATACTGACTCTTGCTGAAAGAGAGAAAAAGATAAAAAAGATTGCAAAGCTGCAAAGAATAGAGCTGCGGCCAGTTAGAAGAAAAGAAGGACGATTCGACGGGAGAGCGCTCGCAAGTACGAACGTAAACAGTAGGTTAAATTCGGAGGTTAGTTATCTCGGAGGTCAGTGTCTTTAGTTAATCTTGTACAGATAACAGATAGCAGATCGGCAGAAATGTCGGCGACTCCGCGCGTAGTCCGCGCAACACACCGTTGCGAAAGTCCACTGTCACTTCCTAAATAAACAGAATTAGTCATCCGCTGCTCGAAATGTCGCTCGAAGCGATCGCGTCGGGGAAGGGTCCTCGAAGGCAAGACAAGCGAGAGGCACCGAAGAGGTGGAAAAACTGAAGAGACGGCGAGGTCGTCGCGGGTCGAGTCGACTTACGGAGGAACCCTTCACTGCAAACGTACGATATTTCTCTCGAGCTTCGCCTGGCCATCCTCGCAAGATTCCCACGTGACTAATCCTCCACTTCGCCATCGATGCCTGTAAATAGCAGCCTCTGTTGGCCACATCGCGCACCGGAGAAAACAGAGCCGCGCGCGCCAATTAGGGAAACTTGCGAATCACACGCGCAACCGCACTTAGAGGAATCCCGGGTTTCGTATCGATAAACGATCAATATTACGTGTGTGTGTGTGTGTGTGTGTCGATATCTATCACTCGCCGTTTCCCACAGCTTTCGCCCTGAGCCGTGACCCTAGAGAGCAAGAGCGGCGGCGCGCGCGAGATTGGGGAGAATCAGAGTTCAGCCGTAAGAAAGAGAGTTCAATCGCGATAACGATAGATTAACGATCCCTTCGCAGTTACCTTCTATCGATGCCGCGATATCGCGCCAACCAGCGTAAGAGAGGCCGGAAAACGGATCATTTAGCGCTGTTCGGGGAATGTAGCAATGGAGGTGATGATGCAATCAGCTGAATTCTTCGTCGGGTCTAAATGGTCGAGCCGACTAAAGTATACTCGACACGGAAAATTCATGAATCGTTACGTTCGTTATGATAGATTACGATAGATTCTAAAGGCTCGTCTCGTCCGGAGACGCTCGAGTGTGTTTTCAGAATATTCCACGGAGAGCGAAATAGAAGAAGGGACGCCAAGTCACAGAGAAACACAACCGACCAAACGTACGACTCGTAGGTGACGGAACTCGTCCACTCGTTAGAGCTAGAGAGAGGGTTAGATCTCGCTAAATTAGATTTTCTTAGAAGCAATTTCATCGAAGCGTAGCCCTTCGATTTTACGGGAACAATGAACCTTTGTTCGATACACAGTTTTCTATTTCTGAGCTAGAGCCCGAGAGGTGGGGGAGAGTGGGACTTCTCTCGCCTCGGAAGACTGAAACAGATATCGGGGGAAGGGCCGGAACAACATACAAATACAAATCCTGATCCACTTCGAACCGAGTCCTCTAAATCCGTGCCTCGAGAAAGGGAAAGAGCCCATGCCCGAGGTCGCTCAGTTTTCAATGACGAGACTCTTGAAATTTGTAAACGTTTCGCTGTCTTGAAGGATTCTCTCGGCTTAACCGAGGATCTCTCTCCGATAATCATTGGAATTCCGATTGATCGACGTAATTAGCGGCAAAGCCTGAAAAAAGTGTACACATTTTGGAATTTTCTATCGCTGAGAATCGAAAAGCGTGAGCATGGGCCCTTCACTTCCGAGAGCTACAGAGATATCAAATTTTATTGTTCGGTGCTCGCGATCGAAGGCGTTTGAACGCTTTTATGGATATCCGTCTTCCACGTAGTACAAACTGCAGCTTAATCCTGGAGCACTGGGCTGAGTAAATTTTCGTTGAGCAACGCACACAGTGTGACGGTTTGTATATGTGAAAATATCAGCGAACAATACGAAATTAGTGAAAGAAAGCCAAGAGACTCGCCTATTCACTTTTCCTCCAGAGAGCCTGAGGCGCAGGAAATTCTTCGCGAATAATCTGACGTCCAACAACAGGATCAACTCAGTGTTCTAGGCTTAAGCGACAATCGTCGCGTCCATTCACATGGTTCAAGAACAAAAATTGCGGCGGGAGAAATAGATTACGAATACGTTCGATATAATGACAGACAATATTTTGGTATAATGATGTTATTCACGAGTTTCTGTGGCGAACAAAATTATGTCCCCCTTATTGAGCGTGACAGTTGCGAGACAACTGCACAGGTCCTAAATCATTTTACTGTGACGTGGTCGCACAGGTAGTTGCAGTAATTAGAAATATTCTAACAGAGCGTAACGACGCAAAAAGGAACTTTATTTCTCTTGGTTTCTTATCCAGCAAACTCGAAGTCGATGCTCGTTTCGCGAACCTTGAACTATCGAACGTCTAGAATGTTGTCCATAAAGTGGATAGAGAAAGAGACCATATAGATATTAAATGTCTTAACCCTTTGACTATCACGTCGCCTGTATTCAAGTGATACGTGAGTCTCCGCAGGAGTGGAATTTCATCGATGGTTTTATTTATTCAGACAGAAGTGATTTTATTAAGGTAATTGATCCGCGAAAAACTCACTCTTTTAGAAATCTCTTTAAATTCTAATGGTATATTAAAATGGAAATACGGGAGCTACGCACGTGTTTTCGATTAGAAAATGAAGAAGAAAATAAAAGAGAAATAGAAGAAAATAAATCATAGGTGGATAACGATTTTACCTATTAAATTAGGAATTTGTTTTCATTATTAGGAATTTAGTTTTGATTTTATCAAAACAAATAGTTTGCGCATCCATTTTTCTTAATATTTTTTTCTTACTTTGATAGTATATTAGTGGAATCAGGATTTAATATACACATCGTATATCGGATTTCAAAATGGCTTGAACATTTTTTGAATGCTGCTTAGAACGTAGCAAATGTCCAATGAGGGAATTATGAGAATTGAGGTCGAAATTACATGTATTGCATGTGTGAAACAAATGTTGAAATTACGTTTCCAATTCTAACGGTCAAATTACTCGCCCAATAATACTCGCTTTCAATGAAAGAAAATAAGACGGCAATAAAAGAGATTTGTATATAGAAATATTCAAAAAATTACAAGATCATTGTACAGCTGTTGAGAAATTGACATGAAAAGTACGCAATTTCTGACAGTGATTGACGTACATGTCTCAGCTAATCCGTTAATTCTCTAATAATATTCATTAGTGCGCGTTTCGGTACATGTAATATTTTTGCACAAATGCGTAGCGCAAGCAGTATTAATGTTGAAAAGTTAATATTAATATTAAAATTATTAATTAATCATTAGTATTAAAAAATTTCCATATATTATGCATCTTTGATTGATATTATTTTAGGATACAGTCAAAATTGTGTGTGTATATGATAAATCATATTTATTAACAATTAACGCACAGATATCCACGTAGCAATACTTGTCGAGCTCTTTTGTGTTGCATTGGTCGTTAAATTTCTTAACAGTGTTATCACGAGTTAAGCACCTTAGAGATTCATAAGGATATCCAAAATGAGCGCGATGAAATACTGCCAGATGTATCAAAAAGAAACTTATTCAAAGTGACATTTATCCTTCATAACATATTGGGGAGACTATCCGCGAGTAACACATAATATAATCACATTATATGAGTCAGATACGTATTTGTGAATCACTTTCGAGTAAGTTTGCCACACTTGTGGCAAATGACGTTGATTTCATGGTTAATATTTCTAGAAAGTATATAATATTAATATCTCAGATAAGAAGTCGGGAACTAAACACTCTTACATTGGACAGTAGAACTGGATATGATCATCTTTTTGTTAATATGCTTCGTTTCAAGTAACAGAGCAAATTCTCAATCAGCAGGTAATATTCTTTTAACGTTTCTCAAATATTTATTTTACATTTTCTTTACATTTTTTCCGTTCATCGTACAAAAAATATTTATTTCACGTTTATTTAATATACATTTCAGATTAATTCTTTATTTAAAATGACGTTTTAAAAAATATTTATATTTAAAGTTTATTTAGTATTTATTTTACATTAATGACTCGTTAAAAATTATTTTTAACGTTTTAAGAATGTTTCTAAAATGTTCTTTTAATATTTTTAAAAATACTTTTTAAGTATTTTTTTTCTGATTAAGATGCTGACGACGCACATGTAAAAAATCAGCCGCCCGCGCGGCAGCCAGAGAACTTTACTGTCGATTTACACTCGCGAATTGAACGTGGTAGTCAAAGTGTTCCGAGCAAGTGGAGATCGGAGAACTGTAATTCTTTAACACTTGAAGTGAGATGTACGCACAAGAAAGATATACACTCGCCCTCGTAGAAAGCACAATTAAAATTAAATTAAGAACGAAGATATTTAGGTTACCGCTCCGTTAAGCTCATGACTTAGAACGCACGGATATTTTTCTCGTCAGCGTGGAATTCTCATCACCTTTAGAAATTGATTTCGAGACAGACTCGGAAGAAACAAATTGATGATGTTACCTGTCAGAGTATCGACTGTCTGTCCCAAACTCTCGCGCGGTCTTCACGAAGACGTAGGATACAGAGCGGTAGCAAGCGAAACGGAAGAAGACGTCCTGGGCGGGAACACAGTACAACGGCTGATCATATCATTGAGCCTTAATCCGTCGAGAAGAGTGCTGTTCGAACTCTGACAAGAGATAAAGGGGATCAAAGTCGCGATCGCGAAGTCGAGCGCGATCTCGAAACCGAAGCGACCTACTCGAGTTTCTTTCATGCTCAACTGACAGATGTGATGAGAGGAGATCACACACGAATGCGAAGGAGAGTGAGCGACGAACGAGTCAACGTGTGATTGTGTACGGATGTGTCTATGTGTGTGTGTGTGTGTGTGTGTGTGTGTGTGTGTGTGTGTGTGTGTGTGTGTGCATGGAGACGAGAGAAAAGGCGGAGAGAAAGGAGGGAAAGTCGAGAATTGAACGGAAATATAGGCACACTTATAGATAATACGTATCTCTCGTGCTAGAAGCTTCGATATCGATTATCGCCGTTGCGAACTATAGTTACATCCGGTCGGTGCAGTCGATTTTTTTCTGTAAGATACCGTTTCTCCAAGGCGGCTGTAAATAGACGGAAAAGGATTATACAATAAAGCAGGTTCTCTCGGTGTTTAGCGCTAGTTGTGTCGACATGTTTCTTCCTATAGTATATATATATATATATATTATATATATACACACATATATATATATACAAGATATAAATATATTTATTATTATGTTGTTCTATTATAATATTTATTACAACGTCTGACATAGAGGATTTATATACGCGCGACGTGTTACGTTTATTGAGAGTCCTGAGGACTCATGCCGAGATCCCATGTTTCTTCTTCTTCTTCTTCTTCTTTCTTTTTGCTTCTTCACCCATTCGCAGTCTTTGTCCGAATTTATTAAAGACAACGGACGGCGTGGCTGTGTCGTTTTATGCCGCAACAAAAGCAGAGTCTCTAAGTAAATGTTGAAATTAATAAACGACGGTTGAACGCAATTGTTACACAGTCGATTCGTGTTTGAGAGCAGCAACCTCTCTTTGGATTTAATTTGGGACATCGCGAGAGGGAGAGAGAGAGAGAGAGAGAGAGAGAGAGAGAGAGAGAGAGAGAGAGAGAGAGAGAGAAAGAGAAAGTCCCTTTTTCTTTCTCTCTCTCGTCGAAGATTCTTGTCCTCCTCTGCGTTGTTCTCTTTCTTCCCTTTCTTCTTTCTTTCTCGTGCACGTGGTTGATACATTTCTCGTGCGATCTCGGCATGAGTTTTCGCCGGAAGAAGCGTAAAATCACAGGGCGAAAGACACACGAAGGACGCAATTCGCATGTTTTACAAGTGATATAAAAGAAAAAGGACGAAAAAAAAGAAGAAACGAAGGCAACGGAAATGTTCTCTTTATTATATCACATCTCTAAACTATACTTTTTCTATGTCCGCATAAAATCTAGTTCCTACGCAATGTTTGTACTCTTATACCCTTTGTACTATTTGTACCTTACGAATTGCAATACACTCGTCCGCAATAATGAAGCGTCTCCCTCTTTATTACCGTTCACCGCCGTCGTTGTGACGATCAGGATAGAAAGTACGAGCGACGTCAAATTAGTCGAACCGCAAGTCCATTACGACAGCTGCCGGGTGAGAAAGCGACGCCGAGATACCGGGAGATCGATGTCGATCGCGGACGCCTCGCGACACCTGAGATCAAAACTTTCCAGGTAATGAGAGTCTGTTTCGTGCGCGCCGCGCACTCCGACAGGCGGCCATTAATAATGCGACGACAGCGGCGAATAATTGAAATAGCGGCGGGCCCGGCGCGGCGGCTCGCAGGCGATCGAGTCGACCCAAATACCGCGCGATTCCGGAGTCGCGAATACGTTCGTGATTTCTCGTTGTTGAGGTAGGCCTTCCTCGGGTCCAAGGTCATCCGGTGACCGACCCTCAAACTGGATCTAATGGAGATGAAGCCGCGCGACTTTCTCCTCTCGCGGAATCAATCCGTCTCGCGAACCGAGCCTTCTAGGGGAAAAAATGACATCACGAAAATTATATAGCTGTTTTCAGCGTCAACTATCAGTCTGTTTTTTTTTCTTTTTTCAAAGAACTTTCCGAACTGCAATAAATTAGAGTGAACAAACAAAATATACTTATCTCACTCTAACTCACTATATCAGCGCGCACCAATTTAGAAAGTCTTCGAAAAACAACAAATCTTACATCTTGTAGTTATAATAAACAACAGTATTATATATAAAAAATAGCAGTATTCATTTGCGTTGGGATTATTATTATTAATACTTATTGTGATAATATTTATTGCGAACTTGATTTTCCTGATTATAATCCTTTCACTACGTGTTTATGGTTACAGATACCGAACGTTTCTCCTTCAGTGTACAAATTTGGCTGACATATTGAGGGAACAAAATTATTAATGCTACTGAAATTGTAGCAATTTTTGGCGGTAACTATCTCTTGGTTATTTTAATAAAAGAAATAATAGTAGCAATATGCAAGTTGATTATTATTCATGTTATACGGGTTGTCCCGAAAGTCGATTACTGATACAAAAAATCCGAAACCTGTTTTACAGATAATTTTTATTAAAATTTTGTTTGCAGATTTAATTGTATTTTTTGCAGATTCTTTCCTAGAGAATCCTTGGAAATAATGTTTAATAATTGATTTTTGGACCACTCTTAGAAATAAAATGGGTATATTTCTTTTGATTGCAATCTTTTCACTATACGATTGTAATCATAAATATCAAATATTTTTCGCCAATACAATCGCTGACGAGCAAAAAAAAAGTCGCTCAATTACGACACTTTGTCGTGAATCTATCGTTTCGTTTCTTCGATTAATTTATCCC